CCATTCATTAATAAACCATTTATTCTATTCGAGTCTGCTGTCATCTCAAATATTTTTCTCCTCAAAACAAGTGAAATAATGACAAGTGAAGTCAGATTTTGCTATTATTCTTATGCAAATCCTTCTTGAAGGATTTTCATGATTTTTCTTTTCATATACATTAATTGAAAGAATGAGTTATTGGCACTAAACAAAACAATAATTAAATTTTTTTAATATTTTAAAGAAATAAGTCAACTTGTCTTTCCTTACTGGCACACATTTTCGCTTGTTTTAGGACTTGAAAAATTAATGAGACTTGATGGACATCAAAATTGACTTTTTTGCAGCACGCCCTGCCATCGTACCCTGCCGTTCATGCACGTAGGCCCATACATTGTTACCGTCCAAACAATGTGCATCTCATTCATTCTCTTCCTTCTACTGTCACATTGTGCCCCACTATTTTGTGCTCACTGCATTGTGGTGGTCCACTAAACTGTGGGGCTTTTGCATGTCAGTAACCAAGTGTATCTTGTTGTGATGTGTTCCCCTCAGTGCTGAAAACAAGAGGAGGTCCAAACACGCAGGCAAGAGTCTCAACCCTGAGTGGAACCAGACTGTCATCTATAAAAACATCCTCCTGGAGCAAGTATGTTATCATCCACACATTTTCACAGGCATTGTTGCGCAAATTCAATGTCACACACCTTTTGATGTGGTTAATGTTGTGTATGGAAGCAGCATGTGAACCAAGACCTCAAACCCTGGGTCTTATTACATCTAAAAGGTTTGACTTAAAGATGGTTTAAAGATTATTGACATAAAGATTATTAATGATAATGAGAATAAAATTATGTTAATATAATGTAGTATACTTATGACTCTACAGTAATCTAAAATAGTCAATGTATGTAAGGTACAAACAAGAAAACTGTGCCAACTTCCATGTTAAAATGATAAAAATGTTTGCCTTTCCTCTGCTGGCATCTTCACTAGCATTGTGGCCACTGGTTTTAGTAGAGCAGATGGATATATCACTGGGATTTAATTATATAATTTTACATCCCATTTTAGATTAATTGGACCCATATCAGTCATAGCAAATTTGTGGACTTCTGTTGTCTGTCTTTTTAAGCTGCCTGAATGTCTGGTCCCACATTCAGCCCAGCTCATATGTTTTTTTTTCTTTAAGGTTTTCTTTAGCCATTATATTGTACACTTAGCTAAAATAGGTTACCATGAAGATACATTAACTCTTTATGTGTGTTTGTGTGTGTGTGTGCCAGTTAAGGAAGAAGACCCTGGAAGTGAGCGTGTGGGACTACGACAAGTGCTCCTCTAATGATTTCTTAGGAGAGGTAACCTTTAACAATACTATTATTTGTCCAGTGGTGTACCAATACATTTTCATGCATATGTCCATTAAACTTCTGTGTTTGCTCCCAGGTCCTTATAGACCTCTCCAACACAGCCCAGCTGGACAACGTCCCGCGGTGGCTCCCCCTGAAGGAGCAGAGCGAGGGTGACCACCACCGGCGCTCCCATTCAGGTCAAGGCAGACACAGTACTTCTAAACCCTCCTCACAGCACTCCTCCCCTAAAACCACTGGCTCCTCACACGACAATCAGGATTCCCCTAAATCATCTGTTATCAAGAGCCGAAGCCATGGGATCTTTCCAGATCCGGCCAAGGGTAGGACACAATGAAATTCTCTCACCTGCTTGACTTTATCACCTTCACCCCCTAACAACCTTCTGGACTCTGCTGCCTCCGCTATTTCTGTTTCCCTCTTCTCTGTACTATGTCTTTCTTTCTTCTTCTTATTCACATTTCTCTTTCTTTGTGCTCTCTTCCTGTCACTGCTTCTCTTGTCTGTTTCTTCCCAATATTTCGGTTTGTCTACCTCTGTCCACCTGTTTTTTTTTCTCAGCACCTTTATACCAGCACCTTCCTATGCCCATTTTTACACACCAATCATAGCTTAAGCTTCATGCTTTTTGCTTTCTCATGGTTTGTTTTCTTGGTTGCCATGATGTCACCCAGCTCTGAGGCCTAGCCTTAGCTTCCCTCTATCTTTCTTCTAACACAGAGGGCATAATGGCCGTGGAAGGCTTTGAATGCTCCCCTAATTTAGAAAAATAACCATCAAATTTAATAAGTATGCTTGAAAATTGTATACGTAATAAAGCAGTTACCATGCTGGCTGGAGTTTCTCACTAGCCAGCTACTCATTCACCACAAGTGGTACACAAAAGGTAACACTAAAGTAAAAGATAGCTTTTTTGGTAATTTGGTAAATCTGGTTGTTTTAGACACGCAGGTGCCCACTATCGAGAAATCTCACAGTAGCCCTGGCACATCGAAGCCTTCCCCGTCCGAGGGCCAGAGCCAAAGCCACAGCCACGGACACAGCCAACACTCTCGCTCGCACGGCGCTTCACGCTCCAGCAAAAGCGCTGCACGGCAACACCATCAGGACAGCAGCACTGGAAGTGGCAGAGGCGCTGCCATAGCAACGGGCGATGCCCAACAGCAGTCACAGCAGCAGCCGCCGCAACGCCTCCAACCAAGTAAACCAAGACGCAAATAAAGCCTACGCAGCATGGCCTCCTCGCACTCATCTGTTCTACCTTCTGTTGAGTTTTTTTTCTTTTCTTTTAATTTTCTTTTTTATTCTTGGTTTTCCTCACCCCTTTAAACCCTCTGGTCCCCTCCTCCGTTGTATTCACAGTGTGTCAACCTCTCACCGCTTCTCTTCTGTGTGTACTCACAAATGTGTAGAGCCAACATCACCTCACCTGTACTGTAGCACACTGTCTTTGACCTTCCTAAGTTTGACCCTTTTTCAATGAACCCAAAGAGGCATAATGGTAGCTTACTGATGGCCAGTTCTGCCACTTAAAAAACTTTAACCGTGTTAAAACATAAACAGGCTATAAATCTTATTTTCTAATACTACTTTAATGTAAAGTTAAACAAATTAAATTATTTCTTTTCACCTAGGTTGAAGTTAGGTTTTGCTGTTTTGAAAAGTAATTTAAATACATTAATTTTATAATGAGTATAAGTATGACAGAATGGAAGTTAAGTAAAATATGAAAAATATATGGCAAAATAGTAGCAGCACATATTCTGAAGGAACAAATCAGATAAATCTGTCAATGACAGTCAGAGTACAGTGACTCTCTCAAATGATAAGACTAGCAGATTATAAACTACAGGTTCAGCTAATGGAGCAGAGCTCACCGGGAAAGGTTTCTGCTTCCAAGAGAAGTTTCTCCCACCAACTAGCAGTTAAATATTTTGGATTGACTAATCTAAGCATTAAAACAGAAGAAAGTTGCAATCCCACCCCCTCTCCCTAAAATATCATTAACCTCTTTTGGTTTTTTTTCTATTATTTTATTTCCTTTTCGTTAACAAACAACGACCAGCTTTTCTGAAGCTCCTCCACTGAGATGGCTGTGCATGCAGTCCGCTAACCCCCTTTTTTGTTTGAACAACTACCGGACCCACAATGCACCTCAGTAGATGCTGCACACCCCGCCTCTTAGTGAGATGCGGGAGGGGCGAATGTGCACTGCACACTGTGGCTGCATGTGACTGACAGTCAAGCTGGTTGCTATGGTGAAGATAAACCGCTCTCTGAATCTCCATCTCGCTCCTCCCTCCTTCCATCTTAAACTGCGACCCCATGACCTTTGTTCCCTGGCGTTGACCCCGACATCTAACCTGCGCCTGCGAAAACAAACACATCCAGGCCAAAGAGGCCGCCTCTCACTGAGGCACCAGAGACACAGCGTAGTGGGCGTGCTCACCATTCAGAGGGCCCAGTCTGACTGGCTGCCTGCCCTGCCATCGGTTGTGTCGGCCAAAGGAAGCAGAGCAGACGGCAGACACCTGACCCTCAGGAAAGCCGTGTCAGAAGAGAGGCCGCAGAGCATCGGAGGTGAGAGTTTGCCCAAGAGTCTCTCTCTGTCGTGTGACTGAAGCACAGATGGAGCAAGGAGAGAAAGAGAGAGTGAGAGAAAGAGAGGATGCGATACTACTAACGCACACCTGCAGAAAAGAGAGAGAGGGGAGTCTTACAAGCTAATAAAACTGCCAGAAAGACAGAGAGAAACTTGCACTCAGCCACATCACCAGAGATTCATGCCGCGAGACACACTTTCTTAACGGCCACCGACACAGTTCACTAATACCAGGAAATGAATGTCTCCAAACTGTCATATGATTCACTGAGAGTTAACACTGTGCCACTGCCACATCCGCTGCGTCATGACTCCCCCATTGCTTCATTGAACTGGTATTAGTGAGCTTTTGCAATCCGAGAATGCGTTGAGTGGCCTGAAAGAAAAGAATGTGTCGACATGGATTCTGTTCTGCACCACATCCACGCATCTCACATCATTCATACTCTTATCACACTGCCTGATCAGCTGTCTGAGAAGAAAATGTTGAAATGTAAAATATTTAAACACGTATTTCTTAAAGGATAACATCTAACATAATGGTACACATAAACAAGTTTTTTTTAAAACATATATGAAAATGTACACTCATAAACACCCTTTAAACTAGAAACTATGAAACTATATTCATGTAATTTGATTTTTAAACTAATGAGATTGAGCATTTAGATTATTAATAATAGTTAAACATACAGATGACTAACAATGTCAGTAGGGTCTACGTGCCTCTTGTTTGGTCTACCTTTGCATAAACATATATATGTTTTATTTATCTGGATTTATTTATTTGTGTCACTGTTTTGTCTTTGTCTGAGAGAAAGATTCTAAGTACACTGTTCATATGCTTCTTCTAGTCCTCAGTGTTTGTGTGCTATTCATTACAATCAAGTCTTGTGCAATTTGAATAAGCTTCCCTTTTGACTGCAACATAAATTATTTTAAGTATTAAGTTGATTATGATGAATTTTAGCTGCTGCAGATATTAACTAATGCTTCTTGGCCCTAGTTTTTACATTCTTGGATCCGGCAGAGGTGCAATTTTTCTTCCTGTCTCTTTGTCGTGATGGGTGTGGTCGTATCTCTGCACAGCTCGGTCGAGCTACAGATCCAGTGATGCCCCGGTCACAGCAGCCTCGTTGGACAGCGGCCTGAGTGGCAGCGCATACAGCCTACTGGACGAAGAAGGAGAGACAAACGAGGTGGACAGTGCCATCTTCCAGGTGCCCCGAATGTGAGTCAACTTTTATCTATAAAAGCCCCAGTTTCACATTTGGTATGCGTTATACATGTTAATTTGATGCTAAACTACTACTTGCACTACACCTGCCTCCATTCAAAGCAGAAGATGTTAAACTGTTGTGTAGTTTTGTCATTTCAAGGATTTTGTTTCCCCTCTCTGTAGTGGAAAGATCCCAAACGGCACGGACGTGATGAAATCATCAATGGGACACGGTGACATTGAAGGTTAGACATACAGTACATGTATATGTTTCTGTATATTCAGAATTGTTTGTCTTGACGCTTTGTAGTATTAAAAACCTTACAATACATGCATTTTTAGCATTTTTCAGTACAGTATTTCTATTCAGATGTCCAGCCTCAAGGAATAGTATATAGAAATAGTTAGACTGATTTACTGTCTACTTCTTTTCCCTTTTCTGTCTTTTCTTATTGCTTTAACATGCTTTTCAACTTTGAAAACTAACTTATTTGTATGTTTACCTCACTGTTTCCACTGCAGGTATTAAAATGTTTGTATGCATCATTCACATTATATCTAGACCTGTTAACTAATTAATTTCCAGGTTACTTTCATCAATCTATCCATGATGATTTTCCTAATTTCCCCTTCCTACCTGTGAAGTTTTGAGGCAAGTAATTATGACTAATGCAAAAGTGTAACTGAAGCTTAATACACTCACAGCTGAACATTCAATTCAATTATTCTTAACCACATTATTTTTTTCATTTCTTTATCATCTGCTCTCTGTCTCTTCAGTCGTTTTGTGTCAATGTGTCTCTTTCGTCTGGTCATAAACACGCACACACACACA